GGGCCTGCTTCGGATGCCTCGCCCCCTTCCTTCCTTCCTCCCACCCGTGGGCTGTCCTGGGTGATGTGGGCAGCCTGCCCACCCCAAGCCCCGTGTGTGGCGTGTGGTTTGGGCTGTTTGGGACCCTCACAGCTGAGACTCATTTTCCAGCCTCTTCCAGGCGGGGCTCTGGGCTGGGGTGGGACGCGGGTCCCTGGCGCTTCTGTTTGACGGGTGAGGTGCGGGCAGGTTTCTGCACCACAGACCGGGGGAGGTGGGTGGCGGGCTGAAGCTAGCAGCTGCGGGGAAGGCACTGGAGGCGCTGCTGACCTGACCGGGACAGGGTCAGGAAGGGCCTCCGGGGCAGGCAGATTTGCGCGGGGAGGGTTCCCTGTGTAGAGGGAAGGCCTCCCTGGGTGGGCAGCACTCGCCTGGACCCTGACCCTGCCCCGTCTCCACAGCGGGTACAGCAGGCCGCGTTGCGGGCCGCCCGGCTCCGGCACCAGGAGCTGTTCCGGCTGCGCGGGATCAAGGCCCAGGTGGCCCTGAGGCTGGCGGAGCTGGCGCGGCGGCGGAGGCAGCGGCAGGCGCGGCGGGAGGCTGAGGCTGACAAGCCCCGAAGGCTGGGGCGGCTCAAGTGAGAACCGGGCCGGGGGTTCTGGGAGAAGCTGGAGGTGGGGCCAGGTCCCAGGGCCTGACGCCTTCCTGCGTTTGTTCAGGAACTGCCCGCCCGTCCACCGGCAGACCACCTCTTCCCCCACAAAACCCCACATTCTCAGAGGCCCCTCCTTCTCCAGGAGGGGGCTTTGGACTGGGTGTCCTGGGCCCTGCAGGCGTGAGATTTCTGAACACCCGCCCTGTTCCGCAGGTACCAGGCACCCGACATTGATGTGCAGCTGAGCTCGGAGCTGACAGACTCGCTCAGGACCCTGAAGGTGCTCATCGCTGGCGCCGCAGAGCCCTGTGCCCAATGATGACACCATCCTTGCTCCCCGTGCCCCCCAGGGGCTATGGGCGACACCATGGCTGCCCCTGGGCTGGGCCAGTGGGGCCAATGCCCAGGGGCTGAGGGCACAGGGTGCTGGGGGGGATCCCAGGGTGAGGGGCCAGGCTAGGGTTTGGGTCTGGGACCCTAAGAAAGCCTTTCCTTCCAGCTGGTCTCTGTTGCAGTCCCGGTCACTTTCAGGACTAGAGGGACCTTCCTGAAGTTCAGAACCAACCCTGTCCCTCCCCTGCTCAGAACCTGCTGTGGCTCCCCAGTGCCCCTGAGGAAGCCCAGCTCCTCTGTCAGCCACACACCTGGCCTGACCTGCCCCGGCCGTGGGGCTCCAGCCAGCTGTGCTCATGAGTGGACTGTGCCTTCTCCCTCTGACCCGGCCTTTGCCCTTGCTGTCCCCTTTTCTGTGTTGTCACCAGCCCACTTCCCATGACTCCTCCAAGCCCAGCTCAGAGATGGCCGTGGGTTGGTGGCTGTCATCCCAGTGCTGTGCCCCAGCAGCTGAGGGCCAGGCTGAGTCCCTGGTGCCCACAAGGCTCCCCTGGGGAGACTGCACGGGGCTGAGCTCTGCCAGGACCCCGAGGAGAGGTCCCAGGCCCTCAGGCTTCTGCCAGGCCCTGCTGAGGCCTCCCTCTCTGTCCCGCAGCCCGAGGGCAACATCCTTCGCGACCGGTTCAAGAGCTTCCAGAGGAGGAACATGATCGAGCCTCGAGAGAGAGCCAAGTAAGGGCGGCCGGGGCCGCTGTGGGGTGAGGGCATCTGGGATTGGCCCCGGGCACTGACTGCTCCATTGTCCCTGCTCCAGGTTCAAACGCAAGTACAAGGTGAAGCTGGTGGAGAAGCGGGCGTTCCGTGAGATCCAGTGAGTCCACCCGGTTTCAGCACAAGGAAGGGAGCCCTTCTCCCGCCCCATGGTGCCCACTGAGTCCCAGGGACCCTCCCAGAGTGTGGCCAGTGGCTGAATCACAACCCCTTGGCCATGCCCAGAAGAGGCCCTGAAACCAGAGTGGGGTTGGGAGGGTCCCCAAAAGGAAACTGAAAGTCAGGGAGTGTCAGGTGGGCAGGGGTTGTGGGGCACCCTCTTACCCACCCTCAGCCCCTTTTCTCTGTCCCTAGGTTGTAGCTGCCATCGGATGCTGGAGCCCCGCCCTTCAATAAAAAGTCCCTTTTAGCCAATCAGTGAACTTCGCCTGTGGCTTGTGTGCCTCCTGCGGGCAGCTGCTCCCAGGTGCAGACTGCGTGTCCCCCTGTGTGGCGACAAACATGTAGGTGGCAGAACTCACTGCCAGAGCCTGGTGAAGCAGAGGTGAGGAGAAGGTTCCCCACTGGATTCCGACTTGGAGAATAGCCCAGTTCCTTCCGCTGTGGGTGACGTAGCAGCTCTCGCCACACCGATGGTAGGAGTGGTGGCAGCTGACCTCCGCCAGGCACCTGCTATCGGGTTTATGCAGGTGGATTCACTCACTGAACTCACAGCAGCCCAACCAAGGAGGGCTGTACTTACTCCCATTTTAAAGGTGAGGAAACAGGGCTGGGCACAGTGGCTCACTCCTGTAATCCCATCACTTTGGGAGGCAGAGGCGGGCAGATCACTTGAGCCCAGGAGTTTGAGACCAGCCTGGGCAACATAGCCAGATCCTATCTCTACCAAAAATTAGCCAGGTGTGGTGGGACGCACCTATGGTCCCAGCTACTGGGGAGGCTGAGGCAGGAGAATCACTTGAACCTGGGAGGCGGAGGTTGCAGTGAGCTGAGATCGCGCCACTGCACTCCAGCCTGGGCAACAAGAGTGAAACTCCATCTCAGGAAAAAAAAAAACGCCGTCTGCCAAGGAGGCCGGCCTCTGACCCAGTGACTCTGTGCTGAGGGGTGACCGAAGGAAACTGCTGGAAATGGGGAGGAAGCTCTTAATGCCTGGAGACGGCCATCGGGGCGTCGGGCACATTCCTGGATACCCGGGGTTGTGGGTGGTCACAGCCACTCAAGGACAAACCCCGTGGCCTGGACACTCAGTGTCCTCAGGAAGTCCCTGGTATTTAATTGCCTGGGGAAGTGCGTCTGTTCCCATATGCGAAATGGAGGATCCACAGCAAAGATGTTTGTGTGTCTCTGCACAGAAATGGCATTTCACATCCGACTTTTATGTCAAAAGCCTAAAAGTACAGAACTCAGCTGGACACAGTGGCTTACCCCTGTAATCCGTCATTTTGGGAGGCCCAGGCAGGAGGATTGTTTGAGACCAGGAACTGGAGACCACCCTGGGCAACATAGTGAGACTCTTATCTCTAGAAAAACAATTTTTAGGCCACTGCAGTGACACTTGTAATCCTAGCACTTTGGGAGGGTTGAGATGGGTGGATTGCTTGAGCCCAGGAATTCAAGACCAGCCTGGGCAACATGGCAAAATCCCATTGGTTTTTACAAAAGATGGAAAAAATTAGCAGACATGGTGGTGCCCCAGCTACTCAGGAGGCCACGGTGGGATGATCACCTGAGCTTCGGAGGTTGAGGTTGCAGTGAGCCAAAATCCACTGCATTTCAGCCTGGGTGACAGAGAGACCCTGTCTCAAAAAAAAAAAAAAAACTTTTAAATTATTTAGTCATGGTGTTGTGCTGCTGTAGTCCTTGCTCCTCAGAAGGCTGAGGCTGGAGGGAGGTGGAGGCTGTAGTGTAGTGTGATGACGCCACTGTGCTCCAGCCTGGGTGACAGCGAGACTAAAACATAAAATACGGAACTCTGGTTAACAGTTTGCAAGCTGAATTTCACTAATGTCTGCAGTTCCTTTGAAAAATGTAAAACAGGCTGGGTGCGGTGGCTCACACCTGTAATTCCAGCACTTTGGGAGGTGGGCGGATCACCTGAGGGTCACGAGTTTGAGACCAGCCTGGCCAACATGGTGAAACCCCATCTCTATTAAAAATAGCAAAAATCAGTCAGGCGTAGTGGCGGGTGTCTGTAATCCCAGCTACTTAGGAGGCTGAGGCAGGAGAATTGCTTGAACCGGGAGGCAGAGGTCGCAGTGAGCCAAGATCATGCCATTGCACTCCAGCCTGGGCGACAAGAGTGAAACTCTGTCTCAAAAAAAAAAAAAAAAAGAAACCGTTAAACAAGGTGGATTAATGAACAGATGTCCCATAAAACAAAAGCACTGAAATGTTAAGGGTAGAATGTAGGTGGTGAGGTATACGGGTGTGCTCAGAAAAATTCTCTTTGAAAGTGTCCTAATAGGGAAATGGCACATTGGGGTTTTGGGGCCATGCAATGTCTTTCATGGCCCTGCACCTGCTTTTGAGGCGGGTGGATCACCTGAGGTCAGGAGTTTGAGATGAGCCTGGACAACATGGTGAAACCCCGTCTCTGCTAAAAACACAAATTACCCGGACGTGGCAGGTGCCTGTAGTCCCAGCTACTCAGGAGGCTGAGGCAGGAGAATGGCTTAAACCCAGGAGGCGGAGATTGCAGTGAGCCGAGATCGTGCCATTGCACTCCAGCCTGGGCAACAGGGTGAGAGCCCAAGAAGTCTTACTCTGTTGCCCAGGCTGGAGTGCAGTGGCACAATCTTGGCTCACTGCAAGCTCTGCGTCCCGGGTTCACGCCATTCATCTGCCTCAGCCTCTCGAGTAACTGAGACTACAGGTGCCCGCCACCACGCCCGGCTAACTTTTGTATTTTTAGTAGAGATGGGGTGTCACCGAGTTAGCCAGGATGGTCTCAATCTCCTGACCTTGTGATCCACCCGCCTCGGCCTCCCAAAGTGCTGGGATTACAGGCGTGAGCCACCGCACCCATGAAGAGCATGATAGAGTCCGTGTCCTGATTTCAGAATCTCTCTGTTACATACTGGCTGTGTGATGTGCAGGTTACTCAACCTCTCTGTGCCTCAGTGTTGTGTCTGTAAAACAGACATAACGATAGTGCTTATCTTGCTGTGGGTTATTATAAGTGAGTCTGCACGTGAAAGTGAGGCCCTGGCACAGGGTAAGCTCTAGGTGGGCGTTTGCTTTTATAACAATGTTAGGGTGGGGGAAGATGATTTTAAAAAGATGCGGAAACTTGCAGTTTGTGCCAGAGGCTCCTCACAAATGCTCTGACCCTTTGACGCAGTCATTGCATGCTTGGGAACGTGGCCTACAGAAACAGCCGGAAGTTGGGGAAGAGCATTCTGCACAGGCTGGTCCTTGAGAGCGTTCTGGAGAATGGGAGGAAACATGGTCATGGACACGGGGCGGGCGTTGGCCACGCAGGCGCCACCTCTGTGGCCATTAACCGAGGGGTCGGAAGTGCCTGCAGCCACTGGAAGGCGTTCGTGTTTGGATGCTTTGTGGGAAAAAGCGAACAGGATCTGCCGCCGTCCACGCTGGCGTTCATCAGACAAACCCCCATGCCAAAAGTCTGTTAAGTGGGAGGATTTCAGAGGACGACTCCCTATTCTTTTTTCCAGCATTTCCTTTTTTTTTAATTTTTTTTTTTTTTTTTTGAGAAAGGGTCTTATGTTGCCCAGGCTGGAGCACATGGCTCTGTCTCAGCTCACTATAGCCTTAACCTCCTGGGCTCAAGTGATCCCCTGAAGTCAGCCTCCTGAATAGCTAAGATTTACAGGCCCATGCCACCATGCCGGGCTAATTCTTTTCTTTTTGTATTTTTAGTAGAGACAGGGTTTTGCCATGTTGCCCAGGCTGGTCTCAAACTCCTGACCTCAAGTGATCCACCCACCTCGGCCTCCCAAAGTGCTGGAATTACAGGTGTGAGCCACTGAGCCAGGCCCCAAATTATCTGTAATGGAGCAAACTTAAAAAAGGAATCCAAAGGTTTTTTCCTTTGCTTTTCTTTTTGAGATATTCTTGCTCTGTCGCCCAGGCTGGAGTGCAGTGGCATGATCTTGGCTCACCGCAACCTCCGCCTCCCGGGTTCAAGCGATTCTCCTGCGTCAGCCTCCCAAGTAGCTGGGATTATAGGCACGTGTCGGCACGCCCGGCTAATTTTTGTATTTTTGCTAGAGACTGGGTTTTGCTTTGTTGGCCAGGCTGGTCTCAAAGTCCTGACCTCAGGTGATCTACCCGCCTCGGCCTCCCAGTGCTGGGATTACAGGGGCGAGCCACCGTGCCCTGCCTGGGGGATTTTTATTTTCTTCCTTAGATCCGCTTTTCTGTGTCCTCTCCATGTGCTCCCACGCTCTTCATGGTGGTGGGAACCATGGGCTGGGTGGGCCGGGCTGACCTCCCTCCATCCTCTCATCAGAGGCTAAAAGCAACGCCTGTATTTCCCAGACACCCCAGCAGCTGGCATTCTGGATGAGAATTAGGTTCCAACAATTAGAGACACCCTGGTGAGGCGTGGACGGCAGGAGCGGTTCTGGAATCGCGGCCGGGCTTGGTGTCCTTGAACCCAGCGGTTCCAGCAGTGGCCCCGTAGGCAGCAGCGCCCCTGGTGGGTCAGTTCAGTGCTGTCCTGGGTGTCATTTCTGAGGGCTTGACCTAGAGCTCTTCTTCAGCTTCCCATGATTTTGTAAGCACCCAGTTCCCTGTAAGAGACCTGGAGTGGTTTCTATTCAGGCGCTAGAGACAATCATGCATTGCGTTTTGTGTGTGTGTTTTGTTTTGTTTTAGTAGTTGCTTTTTTTGGAGACCAGGTCTTGCTGTGTTGCCCAGGCTGGAGTGCAGTGGCACGATTATGGGTCACTGCAACCTCCACCTCCCCAGGGCTCAGGTGATCCCCCCACCTCAGCCTCCCAAGTAACTGGGACCACAGGTGCATGCCATTATGCTAGGCTAATTTTGTATTTTTTGTGGAGGTGGGGTCTTGCCATGTTGCCCAGGCTGGTCTCAAACTCCTAGACTCAAGCAGTCCTCCTGCCTCAGCCTCCCAAGTACCAAGATTAAAGGCAGGAGCCCTCACACCCAGACTCTTGTCTCTATTTAAAAAACAAAACAAAACAAAAAAATGGGCGTGGTGGCTCACGCCTGTAATCCCAGCACTTTGGGACCCTGAGGGGGGCAGATAACCTGACAGCACTTCTCCTTATTCTTTTTTCTGTTTAGGCGCTATGTTTGAGACGAGCCTGGCCAACATGGTGAAACCCCGTCTCTACTAAAAATACAAAAATTACCTGGACATGGTGGCGGGTGCCTGTAATCGCTGCTACTCAGGAGGCTAAGGCAGGAGAATCGGTTTG